AACGCGAGATTGTGTAAAGAGGTCCCAGGCTCACCGTCTGCCCTCCGCAATCTATCCGTGCAAGGGTTTCGTCTGTCATATGACAGACAGACAACATCGGAGCGAACAAACACACAGACGTACAAACGCATTTCACCACGATGAGGTGTTCGGCGGCGAGCCTAATCACTTACTATAAGTAATGTTATTATCTTAAAAAAGCATCCCAAAAACGTAGGGTTTTGATTATTTCTAAGTTATGGCTCATTTTTATTATTATTATTGGTAGTAATAATCATTTCCGAAGCCTATGAAATTACCCATAATAAAGAGTCTACGTCTAGCGCATAAATCACTTGGATCAAGAAAGGTGATGTTTGGAGAATATGTTATTACAAAACACTTATCCATCAGAGGTAACTAACAATGACTTTGCAATTCCTATATATAGAATGAGCGTTAAAACATATTTGGGGCAGTATTATTAAATAGACCACTGTACTTGTTTCCTGAAGTTACCATTCTCACAAGCCTTACAAAAGGTCGATGAATCGCTGAGGAAGTCGGACATTTGAAAATGTATAAAGAGGGTTTAACACTTTCCTCAGTTATAACTTCTTTTCGAGAATTTTATTATACTTCCTCCAGATTAGGATAATATAAGGATGAGATCCTCAGACCTATACAAAAGAGATTATCGGGTCACAGTCGCATGTACAGGTCAATGGGTTAACAATTCTGAAGTGTCTGGAGATACTGCTTATACAGAATACAAGTTACCATAGCACGAAGCATAGAGATTTCATATTAAACTGTTAGCTTAGGGAATTTTTAGCAAAAACAAATAGGTGACCTCTTGAATAGGAGGAGTGAGCGTAGGAAATGGAATTGGAATTATTTGAAGCTTTAGACAAAAATTGCGTTTACTCTATTCAGTTTAATGTGATGAAGGACTGGTAGTTGAAGCTTCCTACAATTATTTGAGTAGGTTTCATAGTTTTACTTAACTTCGCATAGCCTTGCTTCCCAAATAGTATTCTAATCTGTCGAGTCTAATCAAGACCCTTAGACTTGTAATGGTTAGTGATATGTAAGGCTGCGGCCTGCAACCTTATAAATTGTTGAGGGACCGGTATGTTTTTCCGTATAGGATGCGTTCTCGCTATGATAATGTCCGTTATAGGA